GAATTCTAGCATGGTGCCCACCAACACATGGTAGATGCTCAGTAAGTATGTGTTGAATGATTATAAAACTACAGGGCTCACAAAATTTTAAAATTACCTTCTTTGTGCTTCTATTCTAAAAGGTCAATGGATAATAGCTAATGCTTACTATTTGCTATGCTAAGCCCTTACCTTCATTACCTAACTTTTCCCAGCAACTCTATAAGGCAAGTCCTCTGAGTTACAGAGTAAATGACACAAAATTCAGGGGTACCCTATTCACTTTGGTGGTATCAACCTATCAAAATTGTCATCATGTTGCTTTGTGGACATTTAAGCAACCCTCTCCCCCCTCAATTTCCCTTCTATTTTTCTTGCTCCCACCCCACCACCCAAGCATACACCCACACCAATACATTCTACCACAAATTCTCATATGGATCTTGATGGTTCTTGGAAAATATCTGAGGCCCATTAATAGAAAAACATGGTTTCCACTGAGGTGTGGCTGTAAAGGATTGTAAATAAATAATAGTCTTGTATGGCTCATACATGCATTGAGTGGAGTCTTGCTTGAGTGGCTCATGACCCACCTTGAAAGAATTCCTAGTTCCCTCAAGCCAGTTTTTTCATGTGAGGCCCCAAAGTTGCCTTCCCAAACTTGGCTCCAGGCTAAGACAAGTTTACACCAGCTGTCACTCTGAGACCTGCATTTGGAATCTGGAGCCAATAGCCTTGGTCAAGGAAGGAAACCAAGCCCTGAACTCTGGTAGAGGAAAGGGAATTGTTACTATTACTCACTACCTTCCTTTGTTACCACCTAGTTCCTCCAAAGTCTCTAGGCTAAGGCAATTGCCTTTCATTTTTATTACCACCTTGGTGTAAAGCGGTCAGCATGAGGCAGGATAGTAAGAAGGTAGAAAAATTCCTTAGCAAGTGGAATAGGGAAACTGAGACAGACAGCTGAACACAATGGCCAAGCAATTTATAGCCAGGTGAAGATGGTCACTAAGGGAAGGCCCCAGTGCCTGGCAGGGGGCAAAACTGGGAAAACCAAGTCCTCGCCCCCAGGATAGCGTTTCCTCCCCTGGAGTTTACTCCCTGAAGTAACATCTAGGCCTCAGCTGTGTTTCAGCTTCAGGCCGAGAAAAGCTGAAAAATCATGTGAGTGATGCCAGGATCAGCTTAAATGACTAACGTGACCCCTGCTCTGTCACTGACCAATCAGTGGAGACCAAAACCCTGAAAGGGCACGTCTGGAGAACTGATGAATATTCTGCTGAAACCCTTCCCTGAGATCTCCCCTAAGATTCCCACATGCAAGAAAAAGAGAAAAGCCTCAAGACTAAGGACTCTGCTCTATTGTGCTCTCTTTCTGGGGAGCAGCCTGAGCCATTCCCTTTCCACTCTTCTTCCCTCACACACAAGGCTAGCTAAGGCAATGGACCATTGGCACATTTTCGCAGGCTAATCCCCTGATCCAGTCTCCAAAGTCCCCTTTTCTCTGACTTCCCAGTGAGCTAAGGCAGCCCAGCCCAGGCTCTCCTGTTGCTTCTTCTATACTAGGCCCTTCCTTGTTTCACTGTCCCCAGCTTTAATAAATGCACCCTCATAGTCACCTGGACTTGTGTTGTGAAATCTTTCCTACGTAATCAAGAACCTGATAGGGGACTCAAGACTTGGAAAATTTTAGCTTAAGGTAAAAAGTTATAAGTCTACCAAGTAATGTGTATGTTAAAGCTTTTGTTTCAGAAACTACAGACAAGGCCCATCCTGGCTTCTGGGAAACAGCGGACCTCCTCGGGCACTGGCTAGAGATTACTGCCTGGGGGCAAGTAATCTGGAGGCATCCGGGCCTTTTGTGTGACCCCCCCCTTGGAAACAGCTAACTGCTGAGGACAGGAATGTTGCATTTTCTGATTCTCAAAGCCCTCACTCCACCTTGTTTGTCCTCCCCCACACCCCTTATAAAAGATCTGGCCAGGAAAGAGAAGGGAAGATGGTTTGTTAGGGTATGAACCCACCATCTTCTCAGATCACTGGCCATCTGAATAAAGCACTCAGAAAAGATTCAATCGCTGTAATTGCTTATTGGGTTTGGTAGTGACAGGCAGCCAGAACGCCAGTGTCTTTTCTGGTTACAGATCCACACACTACAGCTGGCCCTAGGCAGACCCAGTCAGGATCAGGCCCCTGTTTGGTAACAAGAATAGTTTTAAAAAATTCATTCATTCAATGTTAGGGTCCTGCTTATTGGAATTATATCATAGTCAACAGAGATTAACCACTGACAATAGTTGATTTCTACCTTATAGTGAGGATGCATTTTTCTTCCAATAAAGTTTGGAATTTCTCTTGTCAATCATGACATTGACATAGTAGGTGATAGGCATTGCTTTGGGATGCACTGGGGGAAGGGTTATTTCTCAAGGGAGATTTCTGATCTAAAGGGATTTTTTTTTCCTTTCTTCTCCTACCCCTTGTCTTTTTGCCTGCTCCAAGAAGTTTTACAAAATGATTGCTGGTCTTGGTGTTACAGGGTGCAGCCAAGAGGGGGGACCCCAAATGGGCATTTGAAATGGGGTCCAGAACTTAAGGTGTCCAGGAGATTTTAAGATGTCTCCATCCCCCCACAGTGTGGGTTGGGGGAAGGGACAAATGGAGCAGGGCCATTGAGATCTGTTTTGCATAGCAACAGCCTTGCAGCTACCCTCTGGCGTGGTCATTTAACATATCTATAGCCTTTGGCTGGTCGCTTAGATATGTTAAATAGCTGTGATCATCTCTGAGCCAGGGGAATGGAAGTAACTTCCCCACCAACACGTGACTGGGGGCAGATCCCCCAAGCTACAGCGCCTGCGTGGGAGCGCGGAGAAGATTGGCTCCAGGACATGGGGCCACACCTGCCCAGACTCATGATGGCAGCCCAGTAAAGCTGGAAGGATACGAGTTCTGGCTTGTGAAACCGAGTGTGGGAGGAGTCGGAAATGAGGCTGCAGAGAAAGATTGGCCGCGGGGATTTAAAACCCAGACGTGGCGGCCATTGAGGGGAGAACCATGTGTCTTTAGCAGAGTGCAGACTCCCGCATCCCTGAGAAGGAGAACCGTGCTGCTTTAGGAGAGAGAACCACGTGGCCTTGACAGAGTGGAGACTCCCGCAGCCCTGAGAGGGAGAACCATGAGGCCTGGACAGAGTGGGGACCCCCACAGCTTTAGAAGGGGAACCACCACCTGGTTTTAGCAGAGATCCCGGCGACTCAGAGGAGGGTGCTGGGAACCCAGGGAGGTCTTCCAGTCGAGATGGAGGACTAACTGGGAAGAACCAGAGGACTGCCTGAGCCATGGACTTCTATTTCCTTTCCTGAGATACGGTACTCTGGACTGGGCAAAGGGGGAAGGAAGGAAGGACTGTGTGTGTTTGTGGGTGTTTTGGGTGACTTTGGGATTTTTGATAAAGACATTAGGTCACTACTTTAAGTTTGTATAGCATTAAATAAACATTTCCTTTCCTTTTCACGAATCTCTGGCATTGAGAGACGTCTTTCCTCTGGCGGCGGACATAACGGACCCGGGGCCTTCTTTCAATAATAGTATATTGTCCCAGGCCCCCCTTGTTGTGTTCTGTAACATTGGTACTCATTTCTCAAGAAATCAAAGACACCTGAAAAGAATTTATCATTTATATGATGTAAAACAAAACCTTGCACTTATTTATGAGACTTGAGAACAATTTGGACACGTGAACAAAGCCTTCAAATGTGTCTTAATTGGTTAGCAATCTTTTAAAGAAATTTGAATATGAAAGCTTTTCTGAGGGGCAGATACTCCCCAGATCAGCCACAGTTTCCAATACTCCCTAATGTCTCATATCTGCTGCTCATTTTTGGCTGCCTGACTCCTGAAGATATTAGATTTTGGACTCATGCTTATAAATGCACACTCTTCGCCACCACCCACTTTGATCTTTCTATCACTAAATTGTAGAAGGGTGCTCCTTCATTGAGACAAGTTGAAATATTTCCAGAGTTCCTTCCAATTCTGATTTTTCCTTCCACATAAATAGTGCAGAAATATAACCTTCTAAAAGCAGTTACCTTACCTAACAGGGACAGTTTCACAGCAATAGCTTCATTCTATTTGTCAAAACCAAACCTCAAATCTGGATCTTTTACATGACAAAGGACAACATATATTTTGGGGGGTGGAGAATAAAATAAATGCTGCTGTGGGTGCTTCTTCCTGGATTCTCCAGCTGCTGGGAATGCAGGTTGATCTTAGGTCACAGCTGCAGTTCTCACCCAAGGTAGCACCCCCTTGCAGAGGATGGCTACTGAAGGGGTACAGAGGCCAGACCCCTTTGCCTGAATGGGGGACAACTTTGAAGGGCCTTCCCATCTCTTTCTTAGGATCTGCTGAGGCCTCAGTTGCAACTGCTTTGTAGGTCAACTCCTGCCCAATCCTGCCTGCCTCACCTCCATAGTTGTATTTCCTGAGAGCTGTTTCCCATAAGCTTTCTGCCCTGATTCTGCATCTCAGTCTGTTTCCAGGAAAACTAACCTAGGACAAAGGAGTGAACCAAGATACAGAAGGCAGAGTGACTTGTTCCTGCCATATTGATAAGCAAACATAGAGTGCTGGCAACAAATGTATAAATCACATAATGCTGCCATGAAAAGAACCCTTGGACGCCATCAAGTGCAACCCACACTTTTCCAGATGGGGAGACTGAAGCAGAGAACTAAGGTGATTTGCTCAAGGTATTATATGCTAATTAGGTGAGAAATCTTTGATTATACTCGTTACTGACTAATTATACCCAGGCAGACAATATTATAGCATTTAATCAGCTCCCAGGAATACTTGATAAAACATGAGAGTCAAACCAAATTATGAGAAGTTGGAATCAATACAAAGTGACTTTTTAAACCCATCATCCATGGATAATGCCTCATTGTGACCTCCTGCTATAAAAAGCCATTTAACCTTGGGACTATCAAGTAAATAGAGAAGCAAGGTCTGAATCAGGGGTGGTAGTGCACTTTATTAACAAACCAAACAGTACCATACAGGCAAAATATTTCAATTGCAAAACAAACACTTATGCATACTCCCACATGTAGCACTTGGGCACATTTCAGACAGAACATTAGGCACCAAATTTACAATCAAACTAAATGTAGTTCATGGTCCTTCAATATTTTTTCTTCAGTGTAGTATAAATCCTTATTTAATAGTTGTGATAAAAAGATAACTTTTAAAATCTAATTCTCAATCCTACAATGGAGTAAGACCAATTCAGCCCTCAGAACTGTGAGGCAGATGCCTTAACAGAGCCTGGCTCTATCAGCTGTGGAAAATGACTAGCTTCTCTGGAATGGAGAAAAGACCTATGGTATCTTTCTTTGTGTTGTTGAACAATCTCCTATATGGTGGGAGTTTCCAGCTCCAACTTTATGTTTATGCACATCTGGACTGGCATCCATTTTAATACTCAATCTGTAGCTTAATAGGGCTGATCTAATTATAATACATTAATTGGTTTCTTAAAAAGTTTGAGGAGAGGGTAATTGAATACTCAGTTCTTCAATATTCAAGACTTGGATATACTATCAACCTGATTACTGTTAAAACTCTTGCCAGTTGAGATTTTGCCAAAAGGTGTGTCAGAGCCAAGTTAATAAGTAAATGAACAGAAACAACTGAAATAGATCAGGGTTGTGATTTCTATTAAGTGGTTTGATGTATGTGCATCTCACTATGTACTAGAGCATATCCAAGGCATTGCCAAAACTCCTAAATTAGCTAAAATAATTTTCAAATGAAAGTTAAAGAACAGCAGAAAAATCCTACTCTTTGCTCTTAGGTGAGGCAAAACAAATACCTTAACTCCTCACACCATGGCCATAACTTAATTTTAGATTTATGATAAGGTTGATTATATAATAAACTTGGGTTGGTTTCCTTTGGCAGTCTTTAATTCTCATTCAATAAAAATAGATTTGGTTAATGGGTGTTAGGAAATAAATAGGATATGAAATAAAATGCTGAATATGGGAGAAGACAGAAGAAGTAGCTTACTCAACAGCTACAAAACAATCATGTGACATTTTGTAGAAGGGCAAACATGATGGTATTACTCTATTATAAAAGCATAATATAATTCAGGTATATAATGATTGACCTTATCAATAAAAAATTAATTGGATGTAGCTTGTTTAATACTGTATAGAAATATATTCATTGAAATTTTTATTTAAAAATTTTGGCACATAAAAGAGTAAGTTTTGGCTATCTAGAAACTTCATTTGAAATGAAACCTTCATTCATTGATGCTGCACAATAAGGTTTTACTGTGTATCTACCACCTGTGTACCTGAATCCACTGAATCTTCTCAATTGCTTTATTTGATCACATCTATGTTGATTTTTCTCCAGATATTTATATTGAAAAAAGAAGTGGTTTATGGCTGAAACCTTTGGAAGGGGCTCTTAAACATCTGATAGTGGAACTACTCTGGGCCCACATAACTCCTTAGAGAACTTAGTCTTCTTATGTAAAATCACTCAATTTCATGTCTTATATAAAACTTAATAACTAAAGCACGTGAATTTATAATATAGAGCCATAATTTTCTTTATGTATCTTATAGTCTCAACAGATAACAATAAGAAATTTTTAATGTCTATTTTAGTTATTTGAGAGAAACTGGCATGCTAACAGTAGGGTAACCATATTGAAAACATATTGAAATTAACAGATTTGTCTAACTCTACTATGGTCATAGGAAAAAAAGAAAAAAAAATGTCACTAAGGGCTTTCAGATAGCCAGGGTCTACCTGAAAGAAAGGAAAATACTACTTTCCTGAAATTGGTAGAGAATGTTATCATCAATGAGGAGTGAAGTGATATCTAGCCATATTCCAGGAAGAAGAGAAGATGCCTCATGTAGAGCTAGTCAGGGAGGCCTCTTGGGAACAATCCTGGCACTAGTTTATTCTGCTCTCCTGGGGAGGTGTACAGAAGTCACAGAAAGTCACTTTAATCATTATGCCTTGGTAAACACTGTTCTGTTTAAGAAGCAAAGGGGGAAAATATACAAGTGAGCTAACACTGGGACTAGATGTCTAGAAACTTTATAGGGATTAGAAGCAGTCCTGAGATTCCTGAGGCGACAGCCTACAAAATGCCCCTCCCCACCTTACTGGTCTACCTCTACTTTCATGTACTATTTCCTCATCCAAGGTAGAATCAGCTCACCCCAAGAAGCTGTGACACCCTGTGCTCTGGACCTACACTTCTCTATTTCCTAAAGACTGAAAAGATCAGTCACAAGCTGAGCCTTCACCTATTTAACCTCTATAGAAAGTTAAAGGCTTCATTTTTGCAATCATCAGGCATTTCATGTTAAAGGGGAAAAACAGGACATAGAAATTATTTCTGACGAATAATTGAACTTGAAATTTAAAAAAATGATCACAAGGTTTTATTCTACCAATAAACACGAATTAGTCTACACAGACAAATAAGATGGAGCTTGCGCTTACTGATTTTAATGAGGTGATTCCGTGAGTTGTTTTTACTTTAATACAGACTAAACTAAGGTGTTACATGCAGTGCACTTAACAATAGTCTAATGAGACACAGCCATTAATTTGTTGACAATTTCTTGCTGATAGTACTAGAAAAGACTAAGCGGAGGGTGTACACTTCAGGATCATTTCAGAAACCTAAACTTGTATGCCACAAAACACAGGGCAGTTACTGATGTGGAAAATCCAATGATCTTCAGAAGGCCTGGCACTGAGGGGAGATGTCTTTCCCAAAATGTATGCCTGATTTCAGTAGCTGGAACATCCTAGATGAATGAACACAGATCATTAGCAGAAGACTCCTGCACTGACAAGGAGGGGCAAAACATATCTGCAAGATGAGTGCATGGATATGCCTTGGTGAGTGGCAGCTACAATTATACCAGAGGCTTGAAGATGAAAGATATGAGATCTATATACAGTTACTGGTATATGGAGAGGAAACTGCCAAATTTACCTCTGATTCAGGTTCTTCAACATCTAGATTTGCCACCTTCCCCATAACATATAAGATCTGGAAGAAAGCAGCAATGGTATTGTGAAATGAAGCTCTATAGTTTTGACATATTCAAGGCACTACTGGCCACCAATGAGCCCCCTGAGTAGAGTAAGGGGCAAAAAAATAGACATATATATTTATTCATGTCAAGATCTAAAAAGGTCAGATACAAAAACAATGCTGGACCCAGGAGGGAAGGTAACTTGGCTTCCTCCCTTACCGATCTGGCTGCTCGTTCTCCAGCTTCAACAGCTCCTTCCATATACCCACTCCAATGTGTGGCTGTCTCTGTTCCAGCAAAATAAATCCTGCCTACTGGTTCACGAATCACCCTTCAAATGAACAGAGAGGTCACAGTTGCTTGAGAAGGCACTGAAAATTAATGAGTCAATCACTGCCCTCATTTACCCCACAGAACACCAAGTAACTCAAATTGTTTTGAAAACTCCCATGTGCCTCAGACAAATGTGAAAGGCTCCTCTTGTTTCCTGGGCCTGCACCCAAGGGTCTGAACTTTCAAGCCAGAGAAAATCAGGCTGTACGATCAATCACTGAAGGTGATGTTGACCTTTTCCTAGCCATCCAGAATTGGAATATAAGAACATGCATTGAATTCACAGTCAGATTTATTTGTTGTATGTTCCCTGTTTGTAATCCAGTCTTCTCCCTACACTGTCTTTCCAAAGGGGTGCATTCTGCAAGAGATCTCATCTGACCACTGACCACAGCCAGGCAGGCACTCCCAGGCTTCCAGGAGGAACTGTAGTGGCAAGTGGAAAGATAAGGAGATTAAATGATTTATGTCAAGGAAAGACCCGAGGGATTATTAATCTATGTCTTAAAAAAAAACAAAACACCTCTGTACAGTTAGCATCTAAGAATTTATCTGGAGACTGGCTGAGGGCAGGAAATGGTCTTTCTCTTACAAAGAGGTCTCAGTGAAGAGAACCATGGATGGGCTGGGCTGAAGGAACAACTATTCTTTCCTACCTTGTTGGGTTTGACTTCTACCATGTCTATAGCCACTTTCATAAAATCTCCTAAGCTGCCCATCTCTACCCCAAAGGCCTTCACCTCAATTAATATAAAAAAAAAATCCAATGTAAGGAAAGGGTTAATAAATTCCTTTTCCTTCATGGACAAATGTGACCTTCAGTTAACTTTCTAACTCTGTTCCTTTGGAAACCTGATGAAGGTACAATGCCATCTATGTTACTGGGCAACACTGCTTATGCTAAAAATGTCTCCCCCAGCCCAACACAATTGGATCTGAGTGGGGAAGACAGGCATGAATTGTAAATACCTAGTAGGAGGCTATCACTTTGGGCTTCAATGAGTGTGGTACCTCTTGTGACTGGACATATCCCTTGCAGGGACCCTGGGCACTATGCCAATTAGGCTATTACAAGAGACAATGGTTCCTACTGGGCTTCTAAACCAAGATGGACTCCCCTACCCTGTAGGGCTATCATCTCCTCACTCACACCTTAGCCACATATAGCAGGGACCCCTCTCCCTGAAGAGGAATATATAATACTGCTATGCTAGCAAGATGCTGTTTAGTCCATGTCCTTCTGTGTAGACTGGTGCCAGGAGCCTAGGGTAGTCATGTGAGACTAAATGTGTATGGAGCTCAAGAAATCTCCTTTAAGGACACTGCAACTTGGAGAATTCTCACATGTGCTGCTAACATCTAAAATCCTCACCAGTATTCTGCTATTGTTCTCTGTGCTGACAGCTATTTTTCTATGTACGAACATAACTTATTTTCTTATGGACATCCAGAAATATACAAACTCACTACTTGAGACACAAATAGGAATGCTGACTACTATTCCTAAAATTCCCATTGAACTTTGCTTATTTTTGTAAGTTTGGTGTCTGGGTAGTACCTTCCATATTGAGTCATGATGCCGGGAGGAAAGTAGGCAGTATAACAGCCCCCTGAGTACTGTTCTTCGCACCAATTCTTTTCTTCATAATGTACTGGCTGAAATTCAATGAGGAGAAAATTCCAAAGAAAAGACACAGCTGAAATTCTGTGAGTCAACAATGAAAGTCCTCATGTATTTTACTTTTAAAAAGTTTACATTTTTTAAAAAAGATGGACCTGATTTTCTAGCACATTTATGGGGAAATATAACAGAACCAAGTAACGTAATGTTCTTTTGTGAGGTACCAAGCAACTAAACATGTATACTTTGACTTTCTCAACCTCTTTACTCTGGACACAGGTCATCTCCAGGCAGATTCTGAAGTCTTTAGACCTAAGTCTACAGAATACCCCATCAATAATCAGGTTCTAGTAAGGTCTACTCAAATCTCTGGATACTCTAAATAACAGATTTTACTTCCCCATCTACCAAGGCATTACTGCTAAAAAAAAAAAAAGGGTGGAAGGGAGGAGGTAGAAGATAAATACAGTGTCTATGAACAAGTTTTTTTTCAGAACCACTTCCCCAAGCTAGAAAACTGAATGATAGGAATTCTGATAAAAAGGGGAGAATTAAAGATTAAGATGTTTCTCAAGGGACATGAGAGAACCTTCTCTGGTTTCCCTAACACATTCTGAAAATTTGTTATTTGAACAGTTCAGATATAATCCCTTAAAAGAGCCCTAAGCTACCTGGTAGGATCTTCAGAAAGAATTTCACTTGCATAATTGCTTTCAGTGCTGGATTGAAAGCACTGAAATTCCCAAGTGAGCTGTGAATTGAGTCTACAAATGGAAAAATAAATTAATATGACTTTGACCTGGGCAAAGAGTCTAGATTCAGTTATATTGTCAAGTGTATACTGCAGTGCCTTCACCAACAAATGATGATATATCTGGGATTTTATTTCACAGCAGTCAGTTGACTTTGACAGGAGGGCAGGCTCTTGGTTGTGGGAACTGCTCTCATCCATCCTGAAGATAATACCTGAAGCTCCAGGCTCTGACTACAACTGGCTGCCAGTTATTCAGTGAATATTTTAATGGCCCAAGGAACCACTGCATCAAAAATTTCTTGCACCTATCAGCAGCTTTTAATAGCCTTCTGTGATAGCTGAAGTTAATCCTCCAGTAAGCATAGCCCTTTATACTTTCTTCATAAGCCTGTCAGGGAACCAGAATCTGCTTTGTTTTACCCTTTAGAGCAAACAGAGAACAACCTGCCAGGTATTAAAGCTGAGTGTTCTTACTTGTAAAGCTTCTTCAGATCCCAGCACTTTGGAGTACAACTCACAGATTTTTCTCTTTCTATAAAAAAAGAACCAAAAATGTTAAGGACGTAATAACCGGTGAGTATAGAATAAACACTACGAGTTCCAGGGCTCTTGCCAATGAACCAGATTTATCTAGGAAAAAATAAAATAAATGGTTTTCTATAACCACACAAAATAAACAATTCCATGAATCTTTTCACTCCACGTAGCTCTATGCCTCAATACAGTTATTTGATTTAAAGATTTAACAGCATTTTCCTTTTTTTTTATAGTTTGTCTCTTACTGCCCATTGTCATAGGTAGTCAAGATTAAAACTGGGGAAATAATTTTAAATTAAATTCAGTCATTTTAGGGGTTGATTCTAAGTTATTTTTCTATAATATGTACATTTCTACAATAATCTCTATATAAGTCTGTAGTACATAAGCTTTTTAACCATCCTATATTTGTTTTACAGATACTATGAACATATAAAGCTCATTTAATCTTTTAAGCAGAACATAAATTATGCTAGACCAGGAGATGCCTATGGTCATTTTAGTCTAGTAATCTGTAACTTTAGAAAATGGTTTGTGCACACAGGGTTCCAAAGGGCATCTGGGGAATGAGCATAATGTGATGTTACCTCAAACACAATCTTTGGTTACCCTCATAAATCCTTATGTAAGTGACTAACACAGAACATGGCACATACTATGTTTTAAAAATCAGTAGCTTAATTTATCTAAGTATTTCTTGGAAAATATATATTTTTGAACTCACAACCACACTTAGTGAAATTTAAAAGTTCTAATTTACTAAAATTGCTTATTTTAGAAATGAATGGTTCTATTCTGGGATTTGTTGGAACAGGTTCATACTATGCAGTTATATACTCTTGGTATTTACCTTCTTTAGTCTTTATATAGTTTAAACATTGAAAGTGCTCCAAAATATTTGTTATAGGCTAACAGGCAACAGGAAAAAAGTTGCTAAAATGTGGCAAAGGGTTTAATTCAAATATGCAAGGCAATCATTAAAAGCTGAAAAGACAGTCCTGACTGGTGTGGCTCACTAGCTTGGTTGGGCATTGTCCTGCAAAGCAAAAGGTCACTGATTTCATTCCCAGGCAGGGGACATGCTGAGTTGTGGTCTGGCCCCCCCAATGAGGCTTGTACTAGAGGCAACCAATAGATGCTTCTCTGTTGAATCAATGTTTCTCTCCCTCTCTTTCTCCCTCCCTTCCCCTCTTTCTAAAACTGAATAAATTAAATCTTTTTTTAAAAAGCTAAAAAGAAAAATGGCCAAAAATGGGGGGGAGGGAAGGGAAGGTTATACTTACCAGTAATAAAACAGATTTATTTTAAAAGGTGACACTTTTATGTTTCCAATTACATTAGAAATTTTTTAAAAATTGTTTTATCCTCACCTGAGGTCAATTTATTCCCCATTGCCTTTTAGAGAGAGAAGAAAGGAGAGAGGAAGGAAGAGAAAAAAACATAGATATTTTGCATCGATTGGTTGCCTCCCATATGATGTGCATGTGTGGGGACCTGGCATCAGGGAGCTGGGATCCAACACACAACCTAGGAATGTGCCCTGACCTGGAATCAAACCCATAACCTTTCAATTATAGGACAATGCTCCAGCCAATTGAACCACACCAGCTAGGGCTAGAAAATATTTTGAAAACATTCTCTTAGTGTCTCTGAGTAATGTTGGACAAAAGGGAACTTTATAAATTTACCCAAATGTTCATGTCTACACCATTTATATAACTGTCAGAACTTCCATCTTGTAGATACACAGTGTTAAGACAGCAGGAGGATGAGGTGGAACTATAAACACTGCCTATTGCAACCATGTTACCATCAAATGTTTTAAGGGGGAGACAAATGCCACTCCTGAGGTAATGTCATGCAACATCAGGTCATTATTTAAGTTCCAGGACAAACAGAAAAAGTTTGGTTTCCCTTCAAGGAGCTGTTTATACTGTAGATCAATAATTATAAAGGAAAGGGAGAACTGGAAGAAGACTCAAAACCACTATCCTCCTATCTGTCTCTCTCGCTGTCAAATTCAAGCCCTTCATTTCAGAGATGAGGAGATTAGGGCTCAGTGCATTGAACAGAGTTGTTCCACATCACTCAGCTAATTAATGGCAGGGCCTAGGCTGAACTCTCCTGAGCATCCTACCTGTAGTTAGTGCTCAATAAAAATTTACTGAACCAAAATCTATCCTCAGACTAGTATTACACCCTCCATGATATAGATGAATGATTCTTAGCTACTTCACATGAGGTTACAAGGAATAATGCTAACATTTTGAGTCAATTAGAAAATAAAAGTATTCACAATCATTCTGAAAAGCTTAATGAAGTTTAACTTATTTTGGGGATATGTAATAAAATCTTTATTAAAACAGTGTGAAACCTAACATCTAATGAAACTACAGGCAACTATTTTTAAAATCATGAATGATAAACCAGTTATAATAGAAATATAAGCCATTTGACTGTATTTCATATTATTAGATAAGTCAAGAATAAGTTCATACAACTATATCAGGAAATTATCTTCCCCATTCATTCCTCTCATTAAATTTAAAAACATTTTATTTTTTTAAAGATTTTATTTATTTATTTTTAGAGAGGGAAGAGAAGGAGAAAGAAAGAGAGAGAGAAGTGTCAATGTGCAGTTGCTGGGGGCTGTGGCCTGCAACCCAGGCATGTGCCCTGACTGGGAATTGAACCTGCGATGCTTTGGTTCACAGCCTGAGCTCAATCCACTGAGCTACGCTAGCCAGGGTAAATTTAAAAACATTTTAGAAAAGTAACGTAAGCCAGTCGGAGCAATGCACTGTCTGATTAGTTGGACTCTAAAAATGTTGGCACATTTTAATGATGGCCCAAAGAGGTCACTGTGTAAATCGTTTTGTAGTTAATTTTACCCACTGGTTTCTAAATCTAGATGCTCATTACAATCACTTGCAAAGCTCCTTAAAAAATACAAATCCTCAGGCCCCGCCCCTAACCTACTGAATCATGACTTATCAGCTTCACACAATATATATTTTCCAAACACTCTTTTTTAAAATTTAAGTAGAGTTGGTATACACATATATTGGTTATATTAGTTTTAGGTGTATAATATAGTGATTCGACATTTTTATACCTTACAATGTAATCCCCCCACTAGTAATCATCTGTCATTGCGTAAACTTACCACAATATTATTGAGTAGATTCCCCTTCCCCTTTTTACTCATCCCCCTATACCCTTCCCCTCTGGCAACCATCCCTTTGCTCTCTGTTCCTATGAGTCTGTTTGGTTTTAATTCTGTTTGTTTACAGTATTTGTCCTTCTCTGTCTGACTTATTTCACTTAGCATAATACCATCTAGGTCCATCCATGTTGCTACAAATGGCAAGGTTTCACTCTTTTTTATTGCTGTGTAATATTCCAGTGTGTGTGTGCATGTGTGTGTATGCACCACATCAAGCATTCTATGGGAGATTTTGATGCAGTCAGTTCTGGGAACTGTTGCTCCAGTCAATAACATTAAGACTGCTAAAGGTTTTGTCTTACAAAAACTTTTGAGAAGTTCAGTCACCATGTGGAATCATAACCAAATGTCTACACCTGGGCTGGTATTTACTTTACTATTAATATGGAAGGAGAAGCAGGAAATCCAAAAGAAAATGTCAAGCTTAGTGTGGTGTAATGAAAGAAAGTATGCATTAGATGCTATTCCTGACTTTGTCATAAACTAGATGTGGAGCATTGGCCAAATTTTTCCCCACCACTGGACCCCACAATTTTTCCTCTATCGTGTGAGTAGCTGGACACTAAAATAGTTCCCTTCCTGACAGCAAATCTCATGGAAATTCAAATAACTGAATCCATGTGTAAATGTGGTAACTTCTGCAGCTTTTCCTGACTCCCAAGGTCATTCAAGTAACTCTTCAAGCAAGGGCTGTTAGTGGATTTGCTGTTTAATGTTTAAATTAAATACAGAGAGAAGTACATTGTGTATATATTGGTTCTTGTTAAAAGCTAATGAGGGATTTAAGGTTATCATAAAGAGGGGAAGTCCAGAAATTCCCCGAGGTAGCCCCCCAAAAGCCAAATGACTGTTTCCAGGTAAGATTTTATTTGAACAAATAACTCCAAGGCAAAACAAAACAAAGCAAAAATACAACAATGCAGAAAGAGAGAAAGGGAGAAAGAAAGCAAAATCCATTGTCTTTAAATTCTTTTATACTAGGAAGCTCTTGAGAGAAGGAAACATCAGAACCATGTCCTAGATAACCTAGCTAATTATCCTAATAAAAGGGGAATACTTTTATGTACATAAGTTGAAATAGGTTGAAACACATATGCACGGATTTGCTTTTCAGAAAAAGTGCATGTCAGAGAAACTTGGTAAAGGGATAAGGGTCTTGCAAGGTTATTGAAACTGGGTCTCTAACAGTTTTTTCATAAGTAACGTCTTCTATGATTTTTCTTCATCCATCTCACAAAGAAACCCTAACCTCTTGATCACTGTAAAATAAGAACAAATATGTAAAACTAAATTAATATATGCTTATGGACAAGGGCTGTGTCAAGGGAGCTGTAGCAAAATCCAAAAAGGTCGATTTATTAGGATTTTGAGAATATTCGTGAATTATTATTTTTCATAATGCTATTATATTGTTAGTACAACAAGCACAATATAAAGGTAACCTGTTACATATGTTTAAGAAGTAAATTCTTACCTTTCATCTTTACAGAGATTTGCTAGTTGGACAGCTTTTCGAGCAAGAATGAAACTGGAGAGAGAGGTTATATTTAAACAATTAGGAGACAATAGTTTATCTTAAGAGCTCCCTTTTTGGAAGTGTTCTTGCCTCCATGACTCAGCATTAATGAAATATCCCACACCCTCCCAATATTTCCCTCTGTTAGAACAAGTGCCATGCTGTCTTTCATCTGCCTCTGTATCCAAAACCCCTGTTAGGTTGTGGGCTCCTAAATGACAGGTGGCATCCTACTCAACATTTTACCCCCAAAGTTTGGCACAGTTCTTGGCATACAGTGGGAAATCAAATGTCAGAAAAATTGATGTTGAATTAAACCATTATCCTGGTAATGATGATTGCCTTCTGCCAAATACTTGATAAAAGCTGGAAAAACAAATATAAATACATGTCTGTAGTGGATGCCATGGTGGGACACCCAGAGCATTCATTGCCCTCAGCTCGCAGCTGAACCCTTCTCCAGCGATTGTATTCTGCAGCAGAGAACTGTCTCCCTCAAAATCCCCTGCCTCTCCTCAGTCTGACTAGCTGAGGAGTGCAGGATATCTCTGAAGGATCATCCAACTCCAGAGCTTGCTGTAGGATGGCTTAGATCTTCATTGGATCAACACTGGAAACCAATCTCTTCTCCTGTCTGATCCTGATTCCTTCCTCACAGGCAGTGATCCCAGAGCACTTCCCAATGAACCTTCTACACCCAAATCTTTACCTGCAAGTTGGCTTCCAGGGAAAATTGCCTAGCACATTCATGAAATTCAGTAATTGAATAAAATTCAGTTATAATCTGTCTGCTTCCTTTTAATCAAATAGATCCTATTTATTATACTGACATTACTAATAACTTGTATATTTTAAAGAATTGAATTGTGACAAGAAGTCCTTATATTATAATATTACTTGAAAATTATTTTTTTCAAAAATCTAAATGAGCTAAGGGACAATGAAATTATTTCTCCATTAAAAAAGTTAAGAAATTGCATTTCTTTTGTTATAGCCATAAAAGACAACCAGATCAGCACTGAAAATTCAAGGACTAAAAACAAGTATTTTGTCCTCTCCCTCACTCCCAAATTAAACTGTTTCTCAATTTTATTTGGACATTCCTTTAGAGCTGTTGAGATCACTTCAGGAAGCAAAGATATAAAAATGTATTTGTGTTAATACAGAATATAGTATTTCAGAGGAAGTCATACTTTATGGGAGGTACTCATAATTTTGCTTGATTTAATACCATATGTTATGGCTTGCTAGTAATTTTAGTTAAATTTTAGGTTAATGCAAAATCTATCATTTTTAGACTTATGTGATTATTTCAATGAAAATCACCAATATCTGATGAAAGATTAAATCATTTAGCTGAAAACCTTTTCAGAGCTTGGGTGCTTTTTATAGTTCCTTTTCTAAAGCGCAGTTAGTGTTGGCTATTTTTGTTGAATCTAAAGCCAAGAATGAAATAACATTTTTGATCTACCTCTATATGGACAACTATCCTTTAAGTTTCTTTGTTGTTTTACTGAGGAAATCAAACATGCTGACTTTGGGGTGGGAACATTTCACAGCTCTAAAGTACAAGTTCCTTTCTAATTTCCAGAAGGCACTAATTATCACAAACAGTACTGGGCAATTAATATTCCTATCTTCAAAGCTTTCCCTGCTCAGAGCAAAGAGCAGGGTGGAGGCAATATAGTTTCAAGGGAATAACAGAGTAGGGGCGATTGTCTAGATAAAGCTTTTTATAAACTGCCTAAATAGCCTCATTACCATCTGGAAGGCTTCTGCCATGCATGTCCTTGTTAGTACAGCTAAAGAAAGCCCAGAAGGGCAGATGCTACAATATCTAACTCCCAGGGTAAGAGAACATCAATGTTCTTCCATCCACAGGTAGACTAATGTTGATTGAGTCTCCTAAAATCTCTACTTTAACCTCCTGCTTTTTTTAGCATGTAGAGGTGATGCCAAATTGCACAAACAATCTGTATACTTTCCTGCCCAGAGTGGTCAGAGATGAAGAGCATGAATTGTCACTATGGTCATTATGTTGTGAGCTTCTGCCCTTTCCAGGGGAGCTAATGCTGTTTCCTATATGTTATAACCATAAAAGTTGTTACAAAATGGTTTGTTGGCAATCTGGTAGCACAGTCTGTTTTCTAAGTCCCTTGGGTCATGGGTCTATTCCTCTTGATTTTGTAATTTCCCTTTAATGATGCAATGCACATGAGCTCAACTCTCGCAGGTATGAAAGGGAAAATCACAGGTCCCTAAAAGTTACTTGACTGCTATATAAGCTGTGCTCTTTTGTTGCCATTGGTAGACCAAATAGTTCTTTTGTTTGTACAGCTATGAGGAGTGCTAAAATACATGGCAACTTGGAGGCTGTGGCACTCCTTAGCAATCTTTGGGAGCCTCCCTTCCCTCTTTGGATGCCTAATACTCAAAGCGCAGGACAGCTGTGTGTGGAATTCAGAAGAGAGGGGAAGAGCTCTCCTCTTCAAAACACAGAACTTCTCCCTGGACCATCCCTGGTGAAGGATGGCTATAAGGTGATCTGCTAGAACAAGTGACATTGGCTTCATGACTGGCACTGCTTCAAACTGTACTTCCTAATTAGTCATGCATCTTATATCCCAGGGAAACAATGAACAGATTAACATTTGCTATGTAGCAATGCTTGGAATGGAGAAAATGTTCAATCCCAGAAACCGTATCTTCGGAAGATTTTACAGAATAAAACAGTTCTCGTTCCAAAATGGTTGTGGGCATTCTGCCTCTAAGCAGGGTTGTCTACCATACCACCTAGTTAATGTTGCTTCTTTTGCTGTGATATATATATGTTTTATGGAGGAAAGAAATATATGGGAACAAGTTCAAATGGTGCCAATTTTTGTAAAGCTTCCCAGTGTTCTTGTGCTATGTATAAAACATTAATATTTTAATACATGGAAATATAATATATTTCTGTAGGGTTATTTATCATTGCTTGAACTTGATTTCAAAACAATATGCTCTGACAGTACCCATACAAATACTCTAACACCATTTGGAAAATGCAGAACACCCAACTCAAACTTACCCCATGATAGCGGGCAGAGATCCATCTGGTTTGCTGTCATCTAGGGTTATTGAAATTGGAGCCTCTTCATCTTGGATGATCATACAACCACAGTAGTCTTAACCAGAAGAAAATCAATACGATATTGAAACTGAGAGATGAGATCCCTCATCAGAGATTTAGGGGGGAAATTATATATATATATATATATATAAATTTATAATTTATATTTTATATTTATAATATAAAATATATAAACATAAATTTTATATATAAATTTATATTTTTATATTTATATTTAAATTTATATTTATATATAAAAATTTATATATAGTATATATAGTATATGGTATATATAAATTATATATATACTATATATATTTGTAAATATATATATACACATATATACACCATTATGCTAAGACAGATGCAAAGCTTAAACTATTGCTCTTTGCCCCAACTTTCTAGAAGCTATTTCCTATCAAATACACACTTGACTATACAAAATTTTTCACCCAGACACATAGAAAATGATCCATCTTGATGACCTTTACCTAAAGATGATCTTTACCTATGTATTGGAGCCCTGGAATATATAGGGAAGGAGAGGGCTGTGTTAGAGGGAATCACTCCTATGAACTCACAGAAGAGATGGCAGGAAGTGATCCTTTGAGTATGAGCAGAAGGCTTATTAACAACTGCTATCATATCTGCCCAGACCCTGCCTCATTTAATCCTCATGATACCCTGACAGTAGGTTTCATTGTTACCATTTTACACAAGGAGACTGATACTGAGAGAGGTGAAGCGTCACACCACAGGCCACACAGCTAGTAAGCAAGTGAAGCCCAGGAAAAAGTGACTTCAAAGCAGTACTCTTTCCACAGTGCCCCTTTGTCTCACTTAGCTCATGAAGAGTAAGTGGGAGGACATATGCTAGGAGCCAGAGTAATGGTGCCCTGCAACTAGTGGGATCTCTTTCTTCCCTTTCACAGCCAGCAAGTTTTCTTAAGGTCATTTTGTGTTATGAGGGGTATATGGAAATGAACAGACTGATATTTCTGTACCTTTCTCTACCAATTTGAAAGCACTTGCCATTTTTCTGTTCAATGTCTAGTATAATGTTCCCAATAAAGTGCAGTTCCTTCTCTTAATACAATTTAAACATTAATAAATGTAACCTACCCTTCTTCTTCCAAAAGGCTTCCTTGTAATACATCATACACTTAATGATAGCTCCCATTGGAAGACGTTGGACTAACTGGTTTCTCTCAGGTGGCAGCTCTGGAGTAAAGTGAATCTTGGCTGTCAGAGTAGGAGGGATGGCACTAATAACATATTTGCACTAAAAGACACAAATACAAAATTCCACCTCAGGCATGAGTCAGAGTGTTTGCAGAGGGTGTAAAACATGATATTTATCATTTTGAATGATACTGAGCAGTAAGAGTATACAAAATGAGGCCAATGTGAGGCAAACACAATAAGGTAGGTCAGCCAAGACTGGTCATTTGGAAGACTGAGTTGGAAACATGCCAGTATTAATTATGCCACTGCTTGGATTATATTTGGTTAGAAGCTACAGAAGATGCAAGCCCTATTTAATATATGATCCTTTTGACTAAACTGAATTACCTCATAAACTTCATGATTCAACGTCTGTATGATGATGTTGTCACCTGACTGGTCAATGCAGGTAACGGGACGCATCAGCTTCACTCTGTTCCCAAGAAGGCTCATTATCTTTTCACTCACTTGAGCAGATCCACCTACAAACTTCCGTTCCTACAGGAGAAGGCAGGCAAGAAACATCAGAAAGGCTGAAGGAAGGACTATTATATTTGCCACTGATTAGAAAACCTCCAGAAAGTCAGAGGCCATACCATTACCCTCTGTATACTCAACCATTGGAAGAACTCATTAGGTCAGAGGCAAAGTCTACCGAAAGACCTTGATTCTCATGTTCTGCAGTTTCTGGCAATAAAAAAGCAGTTACTAGTTTATAAAGTCACAGAATTAAAAGAAATGTTCCCCTATACTGGTCCGTTCACTGAATGCAAATATCAGCAAGTCTATGGGCTTCAAATGCCCAAGAGTGCAGTGCATGGAGGAAATCCTGGGGAAGTGCAGGTGCTTCTCCCAAAGGATATGGTTTATTTTAATTAATTAATTTTTTTAGTTTTATTGAAATGGGGATGCAGTTCATAACTCCCTTTGGTTTCTTAAAGCCCCAGCCAAGAGCTATCTAGGTAGATTAAAATGTTCTCTGAGGGAACAGGTTCAGAGTACTCTTATAAAACATCTGGTCATCACCCAATGATGTTCTAAGAATCTAAATCTCAGATATTGAGTAACTTTTTGCAAAAATGTCTCCAAGTTTCAATGTGGGGGCAGAAGGGTAAGACCTAAACACCTGCCTGTTCTTTCAGACATTGTTAAATAATTCACTTGAGCAGCCCTATAAGACCATGAGTGCTCTTCTCCACTGTGATCTGCTATACTCACCATGGAAATGGTTCCAGCTTAATCTAAGAAGGTAAGTCCTTAATACAACACATTTTGTAAGAACCAGGGGACTATATCTAGCCTGCTGTAGAAGATTCTTTGAATGGTTACAAATACATGTAGACAGACTGAGGCACAGCCCAACATTTGACAATTAGGTACCTCAGTCATGCTCCTCTACAAAACCTTGCATGAGCAGCCACACAGTTATTTTATGATTTTCATAATTGGCTATTGTTCTAATGACACCATCAAAGTTCTTTATAAAAATATACCCATAGTAGTTTAGACTTATATTCACAATCTGTCTTTCCTCAAGAAACTGGGACAATTTAATTTATAATTTGACCTCTGTTTTCCAAGACTTACTTTCAATTTTAGTATAGTGGAAATGGACTCTTTCCACTTGTTCATCTTGGAACTATTTCCTCTTGTTCACTGGCTATGCCTCTATGTTTAGTATTGGTCAAATTAAATGATTAAAGAATAAATCTAAGTTCTTTATAAAGACATTGTGATAATTGTTTGAGAGTCATAATATGAACTGTGCTTTCCAAAAGTCCACATAGAGTTTGGCTAGAAGTATCTTGACTCCTCTGAATGAGTCAAGGTTTGATTCCTCTGAATGAGTCAAGATACACTGGAAAGTAAAATATAGGTTTAAGGAGTAATGTATTATTTCTGCTTATATGTAAAGACATAAAAAAATGCAACTGTCCTGTATTAGCTAAAGGTAAAGGTAAAATTGACAATAACTCTTGGGGCCATAGGGCAACTTGGGGACTTCTGGATATCTCCTAAGGAGAAAAATAATTCACTTAGTGGATAAGGACTCTTCTATACCTTGCACTATGGAACACAGCAAAGTTAGAAGTAAACTGTTCCTAATTAAACCTCATCCCATTGAAGCATAATATTCCTAGAAAAGAGAGACCCATCTTCTTTGGATAAGGGTGAGCCTTGAAACAATCTCAGAGGCTAAACAATTGGGGAATTAGGAGTCTGGCCTCATCAATGGTTTGCTGTGTGTCCATACAATAAGCTAAATGAGTCCATAACAGAAGTGGTATGGAGCCAAATTCTAGTTGGCAGCAAAAATTTAGAATCCAAAATATAGAATTTATTAATGAAAGAGTGGCCATATATTATTATGAAAATTAGAAGAAAGAATAGTCACTTCCATTCTATAATAGTTAACATAAAAGAATAACTGAGACACAGAATGGGACAAATAGCCCTATGTCTGGAGCAGAGATGACTTTAAACACAATAATTTTACAAGTACAATTATTCTCTCCTTATCTGTGTGCAGTATGTTCCAAGACATACAATGGATGCCTGAAACCATGGAGAGAATCAAACCTTATGTATACTATATTTTCCCTATACATACATATACTTTATAGCCTCTCTTTGGCATATCTGAAATGCCAGCACCACTACTCTTGCACTTTGGGGCCATTATTAAGTAAAATAAGGGATACTTGAACATGAGCACTGTGATACCATGACAGCTGAAATGGTTACTAAGTGATCAACAGGCAGGGAGCATCTATAGTGTGAAGGCAGTAGACAAAGATAATTCATGTCTCAGATGGGACACACTGGGGGGGGGCATGAGATCTCATCTCGCATCTCAGAGTGTTGCACAATTTAAACTTATGAATTGGTTATTTCTGGGATTTTTCATGTAATATTTTCAGACTGCAACTGACCACAGATAACTGAAACTTATGACACATGAACCATGGATGTGGAGGGGGGCAACTGTACTAGACATTTTTGGAAATTAGTTATTTCAGTAATTTAGCTTCGCCTAAGCTAAAGTAGTCCAATAAGTATAAGTAGTCCAATTTTACCTACCTTCAAAAGGAAAGAACTGAATTCCCAAAACTTATGTAATTCAAAAAGAAATATTCTTTAGCTGTGAACTTATTTTTCAGGAATGAGAAATGGAAATGAAAACTTTTGTTTTCAGAAGTGTTTTGAGATCATTTCAAGCTGCTAATTACTCATGTTTCAAAATGCAGAAGCAATTATTGAGACAGTGATCTGGGGGTAGGGGTAAAAATCTCAAATAAAGTTATATTTGCAAATGGACACTCCATACCTGGCCCCCATTGGTAACGGAGAATATCCGAGTGGTGCCACCACACTGCTTCACATACCACAAGAACCACAGGGCAGATACCTCATGCGGCTCAGAGGTCACATTGATGTTCACAAAGAGAGATGCAAACTGCTTAGCCGTCCTGGTCACAGAATAAGAGTGGATGTCAGAGGTAAATACATATATGCTTCACTGGACATCATGTTTTTAAAACACAATTTAGTGTGGTTAGAAAATATTTCTATGGCTTTTGAAAAAAAACCCTCATGAACTCAGTTTCTGAAGGAAGGCATATTTTAACTCTTAGGAAAAATTAACTTTTCCCTTGCTTTTAGGAAGTTATGGGTCAGCTTCAAATACGCTAATCCCAGTGTAGTCTTAAGGATCAATATGCTTCTCAGGGATAATTAAGGATATCTGTTCTCACATATTTGAATAACCCTTCTCTACTCTCCACCTCCACTGCCCCCAAACTGGTCCAGGGTAACCACTGACTATCACCTGGGTTATAGTCATGGCTGCTCATGGTTGGCCCTACCTGGTCATCTTATATTCCCTCTTCATGCTTCTCCAAATTATAGATAATGATGTCTTTTAACAGCTCAAAACAAAACAAAACAAAACAAAAAACTCCACTCCACTAAAAACCCTTCAATGGTCTTCACAGAAAAAGGCAAAAGTCTCAAATATGGCCAATTAATCTTGCACCATCAGCAAATTAACCAGTTCTCCAATTTGTCATTACATCACTTTCTCAGGGCCTCTTTATGGTCCAGGAATACTGTCCACACTTTGCTAAAACATGCCAATCTTCTAACCTCATGGCCTTTATAAAAGCTGTTTGCTGCTCTCTTTACCTTGAAAATAACTTTTCTAAAATATCCACCCTTCATAATGCACACTGTTCACTACAGTTTATTCCTGGAATATACCACCCATCAGACCATTTATCCTTCAGGTTTGCATTCATCCATATTACATCATTCATGGAAAATGCCATCCCCTCACAACATCAAGGTATCCCCTACCATACCCCAACTACTGTGGTATAATCCTGGAAGATACCACCTACAAACATCATTCAACTTTTCTGTCTCCCCCCAATCTACTGTGACTCATTTTTGGAAGATACCACCCTTCCACATCATCCACCCTTCCTGTCTTCCTCATACACTATGGCTCCTTCCTGGAAGACACCATGTACACATGTCATCTACTCCCCATTCAATGTGTCTCATTCTTGGAGGACACCATCCAATCATACAATTCATTCTTCTTGTCTCCATATCAACTGGCCCATGACTGAAAGATGCCATTCTCACACACCATCTATTGCTCCTCTCTTACCCCATCTACTGTGGCTCATTGCTACAAGTACCATCTAAACACATATTCCATTCCCTATGTCTCCCCCAACAACTATGGCTCATTCATGGAAGATACCTATTCTCCAATACCATCCACCTTTCCTGCCACCCCAATCCACTGTGACTTATTCCTGGAAGATACCATCCCCCATGACATCCAATCTTCCTGTCTTTCCCCTACCCTATCCACTATCTCATTCCTGGAAAATACCCAATCCCCCATACCACCCATCTTTCCTCCCCATCCCATCCACCCTGGCTTATTCCCGGAAGACACCATCTCCCCCCTCAACAGAATCCTACCTTCCTGTATTCCCCCATAAAATGTGGTTTATTCCTGGAAGATACCATCCCACTATATCATATATTCTTCCTGTCTTCTCTCACAGTCACTAAGCATTCCCAGATTATACCACTCCCTCACACAACCTGTCTTTTTGTACCTCCCCATCCACTATGACTCATTCCTGGAAGATACCATCTCCTATACTATCTACCCTTCCTCTCACCCCATCCTCTGTTGCTTGTTCTGAGAGGATACCAATACCACCTCCCACATCATCCAATCTTCCAGTCTCTCTCACTCCCATCTACTGTGGCTCATTCCTGGAAGATACCATGCCATCTACCATCTAGCCTCCCTGTTTCCCCATCCACTGTGGCATATTCCTGGAAGATAACCTGTCTCCACACCATAAAGTTATCCTGTCTCTCCTCAACCCCATCCACTGTGGCTCATTGCAGAAAGATACCATTCCTTCATTCCTGGAAGATACTCCTCTTTCACTCCATCCAGTCTCCCTGTATGCCCCACACCATTCATTAGCTCATTCTTGGAGGATATCATCTACACACAACATCCACCTTTCCTGTCTCCCCCCATCAACTGAGGCTCATTCCTAGAAGATATCAGTTAACCAACCCATCCATCCTTACTGTCTCTCTTCATATACTGCAGTCCATTCTTGGAAGCTACTATGCTCCCACAACATTCATCCTTAGCCATCTACTCCTATCTATTGTGGCTCATCCCCTTACATCATCATCTCTTTCTGTCTTGCTCCATCCCCCATGGCTCATTCCTGGAAGATACCATCCTCCCATATCACCCATCACTTCTGTCTCCACCCATCCACTGTGGCTCAGTTTTGGAAGATACCAATCCCCCACAGTATCCACCCTTCTTGTCTTTCTCCTGAAATATGGCATCCCACTGCACCACCCATCTTTCCTGTCTCCTCCCCATGCACTGAGGTTCATTCCTGCAATATACAATTCCTCATACCATTCACTCTTCCTATCTCCCCCCAACAACTTGCTCATTATTGGAAGATATTATCCAAACACACCAGCCATCTTTCATGTCTCCCTCCATCCACTATGGTTCATTCCTAAAATATACCATCTGCATACACCATCCATATATCTTGTTTTCCCAGTCCACTGTCACTCATTCTGGAAACATACTGTCTTCTTACACTATACATCTTTACTGTCTCTTTATTCATTATGGAACATTCCTGAAAGATACCATGCCCCAACACCTTTTATCCTTCCTTGTTTCTTCCTATCCTCTGTGGTTTGTTTTTAGTCGATGCTTCAACTTTTTTGTTTCTGTTTGAAGACTGCTTCATTAAAGAATATCTCCTTTATTCTTTGACATTTCAGATTCACTGTTACAGTCACTATCCTAGCATCATGTAATTTTGTCTATAATGCCAGTCTCCTGATGGAAGAATGTAAACTCCATGAGAGTAGGGGATTTGTTTAACAAAATCACCACCATTCCTCAGAAAGCATTGCTTGGTGCAGTGCTTTCACATAGGAGCCCCAAATGGTCACTGAATAATCTGTAAGTAACTCAGCTAATACACAGATTCTCACAGAAAACATTATAATTTATATTTTTTGTTCAAATATACTAGTGTCCTTCCAGTTTCATATTTTTATATCTATATGGAATTACTTTACTTTTCAAATTGCTTCTATATCTGACTGCTATATAATCTGAAAACATAATCACTTGCAAATCACTTGTGTTTTACTGCAAATCACAAAACTCTTTCATTAAAAAATGTTCTACTTCATTCACCTAATTTTCTTCTTAAGCTTTAGATTCATTTTATGTTCAAACATGCTCTGAAATCTCTAAATGTCCTTAATGTTGCTATTGACTGAAAGAACATTAGATTTCCTCTTAACTCTTTTCCTATAATTTAGAAGGAAAAATGCTTCAGTTCAAGCTAGGATAGAAATAATCAGAATTGAAGATAAAAAGTAATTTTAAATAGTCAAGATTACTGTGTCCAACAGATCTTTTCGATGAGGTCTTTCATCGTAATTCTGTCCCACTCATGTGCATGGGGAGCATTCCATGGCGCATCAGCTGGAATCTGCAGAGAAAGAAGGGCTCATATCCAGGTATGATGGTTACTGCCCACTGCCCTGCCAAAATGCCCTAAGAAGAACCTCTGAAAACTGGTTTTTCTGTCCATGTTGGAGTGTGTGATTAGCATACAATTCAATGTATAGCTCTTTAGATTCTATGTCTTAATGCTGTTGTTAGAATAATTAATAATAATAATAATAATAATAATAATGGCAATATATACATGCATGTATAAATTTGTAATACATTAATATGTAGTGTGAACATATAAATTAATGAAATTTGATAATAATGATAATTACCATTATTGAACGTTAACACCCATTTTAAGTCTCCAATTTAAGTTTCAGAGTGATGTTAAAGAGCCTGAGTAAAAAAACCTTAAGGAAACAAATCTGTCTTTCTTTTACTACTAAAGTGGCATCATATAAGTAGGATACCTAGCAAACATATGTTACATAGATTCTCAGTGGCAGAGAGTGCAAAGTACACAGGCATTAGTATTAGATGGATGTGGGTTTGAACCCTGGTTCCCTTGCTATGTTGTCTTGGGGAAATCAAATAACCCCTTGGCACTTATTTTCCTCATTTGTAAAGTGGAAATACTGCAAACTTTTCAGAGTTGTTGGGTGCATTGGAAATGATATGCATCATTATCCAGAGCCATGTTCCCTGCACTGTAGAAAGATATTAAACAGCTGCTATTGTTATGACAGAAACAGGTCATGTGCAAACTGAACACACACTTTACCTCCTTTCCCATGTTATCCATTGTCCGCCACAAGTTGTTGTAGTCCAGATATGCAATTGGGTTCCATACAGGAGGGAATGCACCCCGAAATGGGTAAGTTTTCCCCTGTAACATAAAAACAAAGGATAATATTTTAAATGAGGATAGTATTTTAAAAACTAAAAACCAACCAATGTATGAGCCATTTTCAAAGTAACAGAATCCTCTACTGAAGGGGTGTCAAACTCATTTTCACCAGGGGCCACATGAGTATTGTGTTTGCCTTCAAAGGGCCGAATGTACTTTTAGGACTGTATACATGTAACTAGTCCTTAACAGTTAAGCGACCACTTATCATTGCCACCAGGTAGAAGCAAGATGCCAGGGCAGATAAAACAAGGTGGAGGGACAGATAAAACAAGGTGGAGGGGTGGATAAAACAAGGTGGAGGGCCAGATTCAGCCTGTGGGCCTTGTGTTTGCTACCTGTGCTCTACTGTGTCAAAAGCAACAGGTCTAAGTAGATTTTAAGGTCTTATTTACTAATTTAATTTCTTTTTCTTTAAACACAAAACACATTGTGAATTTTCATAAGGTCATAATACCTACTAAAACAATTAAGCATGAGATTTTGATTTTTTATCAAATAAAAACATTAGAACCCTAGCTGGTATGGCTTAGTGGACTGAGCACTGGCCTGTGGACCAGAGGGTCACCGGTTCAATTCCCAGTCAGGGCACACACTTGGGTTGCCAGCCACATCCCCAGTAGGGGTGCATGACAGGCAACCACACATTGGTGTTTCTCTCCCTCTCTTTCTCCCTCCCTTCCACTCTGCTTAAAAATTAATTAATTAAATAAAAAATAAAAGCATTATATATTTGCAGAAAGCCTACTGTATGCACTGTACAACATTAACAACTGTGTTGAATTTTTCAAAAGGGGCTAAATCAAAACTCCTGACCATCAAGGCAGGGACACAAGATGTAACAGTATTTGCATTCATGTGTGTACACTTGCAAGTTTGTGCACACACACTCCAACCAAGTAAAAATATACACAGCTAGAAAGTGACAAACAAGATATTTTCTTCTCAACAGTAACAAATTCAAATAAGTTTGGCAGATAACATGACCCAATTTCTTTTTTTAATATATATTTTATTGATTATGCTATTGCAATTGTCCCATTACCCCCCTTCATTCCCCTTCACCCTGCACACCCTCTCTCACCCACATTCCCCCTCTTTAGTTCATGTCCATGTGTCATAAGTTCTTTAGCTTCTACATTTCCCATACTATTCTTGCCCTCCCCCTGTCTATTTTCTACCTATCATCTATGCTACTTATTCTCTGTACCTTTTCCCCCTCTTTCCTCCTCCCACTCCCCAGTTGCTAACCCGCCATGTGATCTCCATTTCTGTGGTTCTATTCCGGTTCCAGTTGTTTGCTTAGTTTGTTTTTGTTTTTGTTTTAGGTATGGTTGTTAATAATTGTGAGGTTGCTGTCATTTTACTATACATGTTTTTTAACTTCTTTTTCTTAGCCAAGTCCCTTTAACATTTCATATAGTAAGGGCTTGGTGCTGATGAACTCCTTTAACTTGACCTTATCTGAGAAGCACTTTATCTGCTCTTCCATTCTAAATGAAAGCTTTACTGGATAGAGCAATGTTGGATATAGGTCCTTGCCTTTCATGACTTGGAATAACTTCTTTCCAGCCTCTTCTTGCCTGTAAGGTCTCTTTTGTGAAATCAGCTGACACTCTGATGGGAACTCCTTTGTAGGTTACTGTCTCCTTATCTATTGCTGCTTCTAGGACTCTCTCCTTCATTTTGACCTTGGCTAATGCAATTGTGATGTGCCTTGGTGTGTTCCTTCTTGGATCCAACTTCTTTGGGACTCTCTGAGCTTCCTGGACTTCCTGGAAGTCTATTTCTTTTGCCAGATTGGGGAAGTTCTCCTTTATTATTTGTTCAAATAAGTTTTCCACTTGTTGCTCTTCCTCTTCTCCTTCTGGTACCCCTATAATTTGGATGTTGGAATATTTAAAGATGTCCTGGAGGTTCCTAAGCCTCTCCTCATTTTTTTGAATTCTTATGTCTTCATTCTTTTCTGATTGTATGTTTTTTTTCTCCCTTCTGGTCCACTCCATTGATGTGAGACCCAGCTTTCATTCCATCACTATTGGTTCCCTGTGCATTTTTCTTCATTTCACTTATTGTAGCCTTCATTTTTTCATCTAATTTGTGACCAAATTCAACCAATTCTGTGAGCATCCTGATCACCAGTGCTTTGAACTGTGCATCTGATAGGCTGGCTATCTCTCAGTCACTTAAAAGTACTGGTTCTGGGATTTCATTTGTTCTTCTGTTTGAGCCAGCATTTTTTTTTCCTTTGGTCTGGTCGTGCCTGTTATGTATGAGGGGCAGAGCCTTAGGTGTTCACCAGGGCAGGGCACCCCGGTGGCTGGGTTGTGACACTATGTGTGGGGGGCAGGGTCCGAGAGGGAACAATGGCGCTTGCTCAGCTCTCCGTCAGACCTCAGTCCCTTCTGCCGCTTCCCCTGAGGAAACTGGGCCCCTCTGGTACTGATTCCCGTGTGGGTGGGCTTGTGCACCCCATGGAACTTTCCAAAAATCTCTCCTATGAGGCTGGGAGTCTGTCCCCATGCCTCAACCCCCACAGGTGTTTTCAATCAGTGCCCCAAGGCTCTATTTCCCAGTGCTGGGATCCTGGGTTGTGCACAGTACCTTGCTTCACAGTCATGGCCTCGCTGGGTCTGCCAGCTGCTGCTTGAGTGCCCAGGGTCTGCCTGCTGTGGCCTTCCACACCCCAGATGCCTTACATGCCAGGTCCCAATGCTCTCTGCTCTCTGTGCAGCAACCCGCACCCGGCTGCCCAATTCTGCCTGGCCTACTGGTCTGGATGAACGTGTCTATTTTAACTCCTTGGTTGTCCGACTTCCATACAGTTCAATTTTCTGTCAGTTCTGATTGTTATTCTGTTTCTAAATTGTTGTTGTCCCTATCTTGGTTGTGCGAGGAGGAAAAGTGTCCGTTTACCTGTGCCTCCATCTTGGCTGTCAGTCCATGACCCAATTTCTTTTCTGAAAACACTATGTTGTAATGCTGTAATACTTTTGGGGACTCCAAAATCTTTATCATTACCACTACTATCATCACTAACATTTATTAAGATCTTTCTCCATGCCTGGCACTGGCCTAAGCTCTTTATATGCTTTATCGTATGTAATGCTTATCCCAACACTAAGAGGCAAGCCCTATTAATATTCCCATTTTATAAATGAGGAAATTAAAGCCTAAGGATATTAGTTAGGAAATAGAAGAATAGAAATTTCCTGTTCCCAAAGCAGTTGCTCACAAACATTAAATTTTCTGGGCCCCCATATGGTTGATGAAATGTTGAGATAGGCTTGTTCTAAAGACATCTTAAACTTCCAAACTTTTAAAATAGAGAGAACCTTGAAATGTAAAATTTATAAACCTTCCAATCATATTTTTCATAATTCTAAATAGTAAAACTGGAGTCTAAAAAGCTCTAAGGTATAAGATGATCGCTCAGCAAATAGGGTCAACTTTGGAAAATGCCAAAAACATGTTCTGAGAGAAATGGGCTGAGACATTTTACCCACAACACAAAAAGTAGCTATTGAAAGGGGAAAGAATGAGGTCAAGTAATAGCTCACAGGCAGCATTTACAACAGCTGGTTCTTGTTACAATTCTGCCCTTAATTAAAAGTGGGGGGAAATCTATATTTTCTCTATGAGTTTATACTCAAGTCAACAGTCTCATAAAATACTGATTTTGCTTTGAAAAAATATTTTTAAAAATTAAATATGCATAATTGTCAGGGAGCATTAAGAAAAGTATTATAAACATAACTCAAAAAATATGCCCCACATCTAACTAAGTTCTTCTCAGGACAAGGCCAACCACAGTAAGATTTCATGCAAGGTCCTATGGAACCCATAATCTAAGCCTTGTTAAACAGAGGTGGCAGAACTGAAGAGTCCAGCGAGAGAGAAATGTCTAGCCTTGCAATCTTTGTAGGAATGGGAGCCATGGAATATTCCTAGAAGATTATAAAGGCCTGTCATGGCATTAATCTTTATCCTGTTGAGAAAAGCACCAAGTTGATAAAGGGATCTTAGTAATTACTCTTAGCATTTTCTGGCTTCTCTGCTCTTATTCCACAGAAAAACCTAAATTTGCTAAAGAAATGCATATACTATGTGGAAACAGTCACTTACATGTTACTTCCTCCTTTCTCAAAAGCCCCTGGGAGGCTTATTTCTTCCATACCCTGCTTCTAAATTAGATAACTGTTGAGACTACTTTTTGCATGTATGAATCCCAAAAATAGTGCAGTGGGAGGGCCTGGCAATGTCCATTAGCTGTGAACTGCCTGCTAACCAGATCTTCTCAGTCTCTTAAATGTAATGTCATAGTTTTGTCACAAAAGTGTCAGCAGTTTCTCAATCCCAAACCACTTAGCAGCAGAAAGTGAGCAAGTGGCTGAAAGCTGGCCAAGAGCTGACAATTTAGCATTTTTCCCTCTTGGACCACTCCCCCACATACAGTCCCACAACGCAGCTAAGTGGGTTGCCCTTCCCCAGTGAATACCTAAGGCTCTGCCCCTTACTACGTAACAGGCATGCTGAGACAAAAAAAAATATGGCCCAAAGGAAAGAACAGATCAAAGCTCCAGAAAAAATACAATTATGTGATGAAGAGATACTCATCCTATCAGATGCAGAGTTCAAAACACTGCTAATCAGGATACTCACAAAAATGGTTGGGTATAGTCACAAAATGGAAAAAAAAGTGAAGGCTATGAAAAGTAAAATAAAGGAAAATGTACAGGGAACTAACAGGGAAGGGAAGGAAACCAAAACTCAAATGAATGATTTGAGACTGAAGGAAGAAATAAACATTCAGCTGGAACAGAATGAAGAAACAAGAATTCAAAAAAACGAGGAGAGGCTTAGAAAGCTCCAGGACAACTTTAAACATTCCAATGCCCAAATCATAGGGGTACCAGAAGGAGAAGAGGAAGAGCAAGAGATTGAAAACATAATGAAGGAGAACTTCCCCAATCTGGCAA